CGAAACTGGTCGCCGTGGTCGACTCCTCTCCGCATCTCGAGCCTGCCGCCGTACACGATGAGCTGAGTGGACAAACGGGTTGCAGCGGGGAAGCTCTCCACAAGAAGGTAAGGCAAGCGCGAAAGGGAACAGCGTCACACCGCCCCGCATCGTTCGCTTGAAAAAAATAAATGCAGCCGTACGTACCCCCCGGCACATATTCCGCTGTCTCCAGAAACGTCCGCGGGACTACGTTTTCAGAATTAGCTTGGGTTGAATTAATTAGGAGCTGAACACCACATGATAATTACCGGCAGGTGTGATTGAAATGGGTTGCAACTGAAATCTGCAGGAAGGTGGCTCTCCAGGAACAGGGTTGGCCACCCCTGGTAGTGTGTCCACAGTCTTATTGGAGTGATATAAACCCAACAAGTTTCTCTTTTTTCTTAAATTAACTGACATTAAAATAAATCCCAAATCACATGGATTTTGAGGCCCACCGCAATGTGATGAAGTAGTGTGGTTATCCAATGAATTGATTGGCAGGCACCAAGTTTCAATAATAACATGTACACACATGGCCACAGAACGTTTTTTGTCAATAAACTGGGATTAAAACATGTTACAACTTTTGGTGAATTTTATAAGTTTAAAACTATTTTAAAACAGAGTGTGTGTGTAATAAAGAAAGTAAAATCTACATGTAATTCATAAACTGCTATATAATCACCATGGCTGCATGGTGTCAGTAAATGCGCATTTATATTTGTGTGTCTGTGAACTGCAAACGACATTTGTGTGAGATTCATCATTTCAGAAAGGCTTGAATAAACTCCACCACATATACAGCAAATAAAGTTACTTGGTATTTTTGACTAATGAGCTGCATTTCAGCTTCATCTGAGTCTGTCTCTATCACTGACTGCTGTTTATCTGGAGAAGCGGACATGTACGTGGGTGGGGAGAAGCAGCTCATTTGCGTTTAAAGCCACAGGCTACAAAAACTGCTACAATGTACTCAGACAGCAAAATGGGCATATTCTGGAGGCAATAATAGATTATATGATGGGTATTTTGAGCTGAAACAGACCTGTTCTGGAAATACTAAAGGCTTACCTTACATTTTGCAAAGTGTAAAATAGGTGCCCTTTTATTATGCAAAATCAAAGTTTGGAAGCTGTTTGGACAGTGTGCAGCTATAGTGTCTACACCAGGGGTATCCAAACTCGTTCCTGGAAAGCCGGTGTCCTAAAGATTTTAACTTCAACTTGCCTCAATACACTTGCAAGGATGTTTATAGAAAGCCTAGTAAGAGCTTGATTAGCTAGCCCAGGTATGTCTGATTGGGACTGGAATTAAACTTTGCAAGACACTGGCCCTCCAGGACCGAGTTTGAACATGCCTGGTCTACACAATCATATTGGAAAATAATTAAATTTCCTGATGTTAAACTAGAATCTAAATCCCTGTGATTTTGAGGCTCACCACACAGTGATGAAGCAGTTCGGTTTCCCCCGCCCACCAATAATGATTGACAGGCATTGTCATGTCCACAAGACAGGATTTGCAAAGAAACTGGAATTAAAAATCTGTTCCAGCTCTCTATGATCAAACTGCCTTTCAAGAAGCAGTAAGTGGTACACTTTGTATTGTTTGTAGCATTTTGAACTGTACTTTTTGAGCTACAAAATTCATAATTGTTGATCAGCACAGCGGAATTGTGTACACATCGATACATGAGGATGCTATTTAGGCAAGTCATAATAGTTTTTCTCTGCAGACAATCAAAGATATGTTCATTAAAGGGGCTAATAATATTGACTTTAAAATAGGTTTAAAAATATTTAAAACTGCTTTTCTTCTAGCCCAAATAAAACAAATCAGACTTTCTCCAGAAGAAAAAATATTATCCGAAATACCGTGAAAAATTCCTGAATCTGTTAAACATCATTTGGGAAATATTTATAATTTTATTTTATTTTTTAATTCACAAGAGGGCTAATAATTTTGACTTCAAATGATAATCGTTTTGAATAATCATGATTATGACCAAAATAATCGTGATTATGATTTTTCCGATAATCGAGAAGCCCTAGTGGACACCCTGTCACATTTACTGCAAGCAGATGAACAGCACAATGTGTGTTTTTGTGCACGAAACGATCAGTCGGTGTAAGGAATTGACAGCCTGATCTCACGAGAAAGTAAGTATTTTACGTTTTGCCAGTTTAGTGGCTAATTCGTACGAATTCATTTGTACGAAATTGTACGATTTTAAAAAGGAGGCGTGGCACCTAACCCAACCCCTAAACCCAACCGTCATTGGGGGATGAGCAAATCGTACTAAGCCGCGGTCACACTAGAGTTTGATATTGATAATTCGAAATTCTCAGGTTGCTGCGGTGCAAATATTAAAGGGTCACGAAACACCAAAACACATTTTTTGAGCTGTTGACAGTCGTATGTGTGTCCCACACTGCTAAAAACACTATTAGGACACATATATTTCACTAAAAAGTGTAAATTGGTTGTTTTTGCGTTATTTTAAGCAAATTCCTACTTCCGGTTTGAAACGAATTTTTGAAGCTGCGTCACGGTCATGACATAATAGCGTGTATTTCAGCGTGCAGACTGGACGTCTGTGCCAGAGTGAGTTTTATTACGTCTTACAGTGTGATGCATTAATGCATGAGTAAGGCTTGGTTCAAACCAATCAGCGCGCTCTATTGTGCAACTTCATTAATATTCATTACTGTCACAGTGTTTAGACGACAGAGACGCCATGTTGTGTTAGCAAAACAAGCGTGAAGTGTTGCTTTTATAGTTTGCTGCCGTTAAGTTTTGTTTTCATGTTCTCTCTGTGAGAGCGCAGCTGGAGTCACGTGTGGATTAACAGTGTACGCGACGCTCGACAACAATAACTTACGTGTCTAAGGACCCTTTAAGCTTGGTGAACTCTGATCTGCGAAATCGCATCACTTGACTGCATGAGACCAATCGAGGATCAAAACATGACCTCTCTGGACAGAAATTTAAAACATGGAGCAGTGGCTAGCTTTTTTAATGTCTAATAATCTTGTTTATTCCCACCCCTTTTCGCAGCGCCGCACAACAGAATTTCACACACACAAACTCCCGCAGCGTGACCGCAGCTTTAAATCGTACGATTACGATTAGCCACTAAATGAAAAAGTTACGTATTGCTTTGAGATTGTGTTGGGAATTGAACATTATTCAAAATATTTTTACCTTTACTCAGTCATTAGGAGCCTATTGATTTGGACTAATTTGCGTGTTTACTTTTAGTCTTAACAGTCACCAACACCAAGGAGCATGGATCCAGTTAAAATATTACCATCAATATTACCGTAGGCGCATGACTCAATAAAACTATATTTCTGAGAAAAGTTTGCTTAGGCGAATGAAGCGAACGGGAGGTAGCGGGAACTACAATTCCCATCAGCCTAGGCGTGGCCATCATCCTTTGCGGTCTGTTGTCACTACAGATCCAGTAATGCGGAAATGGAGTGTGCTGCTAGTAGCGGGGAAGAAAAAGAGCTGGAAATGATCGAACCTAAAGCGGGTTTTAAATCGGATGTGTGAAAGTTTTTCGGTTTCTTTCTAAAAAGATACGAAAAAGGAGAAAAGGTGACAGACAAAGAAAAAAACAGTATGCAGGCACTGCCAGACTGTGGTGAAATATAAGTCGGGGAATACGACTAAAAACAGTCATGGGGACTGCAGAACACAGCACACTTGTTAGATTGATGCAGACATTGACTTGTACCGCAAAGAGACCTCTATCTCACTCATGGCTTGTCCTCTCAAGTGGTGGAAAGACAATGCACAACGTTACCCACTGCTGTCAACCTTGGCTAAATCAGATCTCTCTGTCCCAAAAACCTCAGTCCCAAATGAGAGGGTTTTTTTTTTCTGTTGCAGGGGACATGCCCAGAGATCCCAGCTTTTACCAGATTATAGTTATATGATAATTTTCCTTAAAAACCCATCTCTATCTAAGTGAGTGAGTGATTAAATGTTGAATGTGATGTGTTTTCAACAATACTAAATTGAAACTTTATTTGTTTTATATGGTTTAATTGTTTTTTGTTATTAAAATTGAAAAATTGAAGTTCCTGTTTCGAAACTTACAGATAGATGGCTAATTTGTATGTCATTGATATGTTTAGTGCTAAGGTAAATAAACATTTTGGCACTTTTTTTGATTCTTTTCATTAGTTTTGTTTTTCCTGTAAATTATTCAGTAAATATTGTACCGTGCCATTCATACCGAGGTATTATCGTAACGTGAAATTCTGATACCGTTACATCCCTAATATTAATTAGTAATTCATTACTTTATTTAACAAAATTCTGGTTTAAAAACATAAACAGTGAATATATGTATTATAGTGTCCCACATTTCCTCACGTAATCCTCAGAGACAGTTTGACCATAGGGTTAAGAGTGGTTCTGTTAATTAATTCACAATATAAGAATGATTTGCTACACAGTGAACAAAAACAGCTGGTGTGCGCGCACTGGTGTGCGCGTCTGTTGAGACTCAACAGTTGAGTGACAGATTTTTTTTTCTAAAATTAGTCTTTTATGTCAGAACAAGTTAAGGAAAATAGGCTAACATTTAACACCACTGATACAGGTTTGCAAAATCAAGCAGTACGAATGACTATGCTGCTTCATCTGGAAAAAAAATCTGGAAGCAGAAGAGACCTGGAACAGACCTGGAACATTAAAAACGTTCCCTTAGCCGCTATTTTAAGTAACAGATATGATTGATAAAACATCATATAATCTGATAACGAGTGCGCATGGAGTCATTTATTCGCTAATGAGATTAATCTGCTCTGCACATTAAGGGATTGTTATCCTTTTCGATTAAACATCTTGATCCACATATAATGGATGCACGCGCTGGCGTCAATTCACGCGCGCGCCTTCGCCAATCAGATGCCTTTTAGGAGCGCCCTCGCAGCGCAAACTCATTGATTTTTACACGAAGTATCCTGATCCGCTTCTATGATGTAAGAGGGTGGTAAATATTGATGAAGTGAACGGATGTCCAATAGCTATCCGAATTCCTCGCCGGGGCTGCTCTTGGATAAAAAAGTAATTTTAAAGTCGCATGCAGAGCGATATAACCGCACAAGTGTGTAAGATTTATGTTGTTTCCATATAAAGGATCTATTCTAATAAGAAATGGCTATTAACACGGACGCGCCTCACGCGACAGACGCCGCGCTTCAGTCCACCGATTTTGGAGATACTCAGAAACTCCTGGACATCTCGGACAAACAGCTGAAGAGAGAATTAAACCACACAGATTCTGACACACACTTCGCCGGTTCTCTGAAAGAAGAGCCCACTGAGCAGAGTGTGGTCATTTCTGCTTCAGTCCCGCGGTCTTCGTCGCGAGCGAGCTTCAGATGCGCGTCGCCGCCCACGCCCGAGGAACGCGAACCCTGCAGCTTCATGTGGGTCGCCGTGATGTCCTGCTTCTGCCCGGCCGTCCCGATCAACCTGTTCGCGCTTTATTTCGCGCATATGGTGAGTATCCCCACAAGTTCGGAATTAAAACAGTCTGATAATTAAAGGGTTCACCCAAAAGTGAAATACTCTCTCTCAAATGGCTTCTAACATTTATGAGTTGCTTAATGAAGATATTTTGAAAAAAAGCTGAAAACCTGTAACCATCTATTATCATACACAAATACTGGAAGTCAATGGTTACAGGTTTCTGGTTTTATTCAAAATATCTTCAATAGAAGATAAAAACTCATAAAAGGTTGAAACAAGTGAAGGGAGATTAATTGATGACTGTTTATTTTTGGAAGATATATTAAGTCTAATAAGTCTAATGAAAAACAAATGTTTCCACGTTCGTTTTACATTTCGATATGTTCTTCCTGGACCCCTAATAGTTCATATTGTGACTAAGGGGGGCATCATTTGCAAGGATTCTAATACTATTCTTTCATAAAGACTGTTAAAGTAACCTAATAGTTCACCTAAAAGTGTAAACTCTGTGAATTTTCTCATCCCCCACATTGTTTAGAACATTTTATTTTTGTGTTCAATGGAAGAAAATAATCATATGAGTTTAGAAGCACTTGAGAGTGTGTGCTTTTGTGTTTGAGCGAACTATACCATTATTATTTTCATTTGCAATCCACAATACCAGCAAAAAATTAATTAAATGTTTTTATCTTGACTAGTTCTTCAGATATAATCATTGTCTTTTGCTATCAGTCATGTTTTTTACAGGATTTCCACAAAATATTTACTTTGAGTTTCTGTACTTCATGTATTATACATCTATTTTTTCATTTAACTTCTGTTAAAGATAATTTAATCACAATTCACCCACAAATAAAAAATAAAATAAAAAATACAAAGCATCCACCCTGAATCATCCATGTAAGTCAAAGGTTACTGGTTCAACATTCTTCAAAATATGTATTTTAGTTTCAACAGAGAAACAAAACTCAAAAATGTGCATGAGTCAAGGGTGAGTAAATGAAGATAGAATTTTCAGTTTTGGGTGAACTGTAACTTTAATTCTTGTTATGGTGGATATACACTCACCGGCCACTTTATTAGGTACACTTTACCAGTACCGGGTTGAACCTCTCTTTCGGTTTCAGAACTGCCTTAATCCTTCCTGACATAAATTTAATAGGGTATCAGGAAATATTCTTCAGAGATTTTGGTCCATATTGACATGATAGCATCATGCAGTTGCTGCAGATTTATCGGCTGCACATCCATTATGTGAATCTCCCATTCCACCACATCCCAAAGGAGCTCTATTAGGTTGAGATCTGGTGACTGGAGGCCATTTGAGTACAGTGAATTCCTTGTCATGTTCAAGAAACCCGTCTGAGATGATTCGCGCTTTATGATATGGCGCGTTATCCTGCTGGAAGTAGCCATCAGAAGATGAGTACACTGTGGTCATAAAGGGATGGACATTAGCAACAATTCTCAAGTAGGCTGTGGTGTTGACACAATGGTCAATACTAATGAGCCCAAAGTGTGCCAAGAAAATACCTACACACCATTATACCACCAACAGCCTGAATTAGAGTGTTGTTGATGCCAAATTCCGACCCAACACTCTCAGAAATAAAGGTACATGAGCTGTCACTGGGGTGGTACCTTTTCAAACGGTGCAAATTTGTACCTAAAAGGTCCATATTAATACCTAAAAGGTACATATTAGTACCTAAATAGTACAAAATTGTTCCTCTTCAAATTTGTAGGTACTAATATAGACTTTTGAGATACCAATATGGACAAGTATAAATGTGTATCTTTTGAAAAGGTAACACCCCAGTGACAGCTCGCGTACCTTTATTTCTGAGAGTGTACCATTCAAATGTCACAGCAAAAATCCAGACAGGCAACATTTTTCCAATCTTCTGTTGTCCAATTTTGTTAAGCCTGTGTGAATTGTAGCCTCAGTTTCCTGTTCTTAGCTGACAGGAGTAGCACCTGGTGTTGTCTTCTGCTGCTGTAGCCCATCTGCCTCAAGGTTGGACTGGTTGTGCGTTCAGAGATGCTCTTCTGCATACCTCTGTTGTAACGAGTGGTTATTTAAGTTACTATTGCCTTACTATCAGCTTGACCCAGTTTGGCCATACTCCTCTGACATCAACAGGGCATTTGCGCCACAGAGGTGGATATTTTCTCTTTTTCAGGCCATTCTCTGTAAACTATAAAGATGGTTGTGCGTGAAAATCCCAGTAGATCAGCAGTTTCTGAAATACTCAGACCAGCCCATCTAGCACCAACAACCATGCCACGTTTAAAGTCCCTTAAATCACCTTTCTTCCCCATTCCGATGCTCGGTTTGTCTACATGCCTAAATGTATTCAGTTGCTGCCATGCGTTGGTCTGATTTGATCTTTGCGTTAAAGAGACAGGTGCACCTAATAAAGTAACCGGTGAGTGTATATCCCAGATCTGCTGACTTCATCATGTTGTCAACTCACAATGTATTTTTCAAACCCACAGAATGTATTTTCTTCCTGTTCATAAATGACCCACAGCTTCTTCACTAATGGCTAATGGTGTATTCACATGAGGATAGAATGATAAAAGCATTGATGAGGAAGCATCACGTATAAAACCTTGTGTCCTAACTAATATTTTGTATTTGTTTTCATTTATTTTTGACACTGTTTATTGTTTTAATCATAAACATTATGTACATTCTGCAGGTATTTCTTACTTAGAGTGCCTTTTTGTCAGGGTTTTTCTCCATCTGTAAATATTCTTAAATAGTCAAACAAATCTAATAGTTACTAGTACATTTTACATTAAAAATGAAACTTGATTTGAAGAATGGTCTTGAAATACTACTTGCTTCAAGGAATAAATATTCAATGCAGTCTTTCTGCTGGATACAGTGTTCCCATGTTCTTGTAAGCTATTGCTAACTGGTAAATGGAGAAACATACAGGAGATACACTATGTCTTTAAAGCAATTAGCTAGTAAGTAAATCACATTATTCATTTATTCAAGTTCTGAATTGCACAAAATGAGTCATTGGTTTGCTCAACTTTTGCTTTTGTAGTCGATTTACATGTTTGTTTTTTTTAAATAAGATTAATAATTTTGTTTTGGGCACTACATGTCACCTATAGCTAATTTTACAACAATTCCCTTTAAACATATACTACATTTCATAAAATTTGCTCTCAGAAAAGATGTAAGCAATTTATCGTGCAATAATGCTGCCATATCTCTCTCTATTGATATATCTTTAAAAATAATTTAATTGATTGGTCGTTGATCAATAAATACGACCTGATTGGTCATAATGTGACTCATGGGGCCTCCAGCTGTTACATTAGAAATCAACTACCCATAAAGCTGACTTACGCTTGATTTCCTTCCTGTTTCACTTCAGTCTCGCTCTATGATACAAGCAAAAGATTATGACGGAGCCAGAAGACTTGGACGTCTAGCTTTGTTGCTCAGTCTGATTGCCATTGTTGTGGGTCTGGCTATAATCATTTATCTACTCATGACAGGTAAACGCCACTTTCTATTGTCTTTACATGCTTTTCGTTAATTGGCATTTTGTATTTACTATAACATTGAGATACACACACAGCCGTCAGATTCGGAATTGTGCAAATTTATTAACGGCTACAGCATGGCGCAGTCCAAAATCGTGAATTAGACCTATGCACAAAACTGAAATATCGCGTAAAGCAGTGATTCTCAAACATTTTTCACCAAGTACCACCTCAGAAAAAAAAAAAAAAACTGTCTTTCCAAATACCACCATAATGATCAGTATTAAAATAGAGTAGTGTAGCAGGCCTAATTAAGCATCTACAGCACTGCAGTTAAAAAACGAGGCAGATTAATTCATATTTTTTAAGAATATTTATTATTGTCAGCCTCTTTAAACATTATAAATAGTTTAAACATTAACTGCAGTAGCAGGTAAAAAAAAAGAGTCAACATTCAAATTAAAATGTGCTTTTACAAGTTAATTAAAAATGGCGCTGTTCTTAAAAAGTACAAAGAAAAATGCTGTACTTTAATTGTGAAGAATTAACTTAGTAGCGGCGAGGCAGTGGCGCAGTAGGTAGTGCTGTCGCCTCACAGCAAGAAGGTCGCTGGTTCGAACCTCGGCTCATTTGGCGTTTCTGTGTGGAGTTTGCATGTTCTCCCTGCCTTCGCGTGGGTTTCCTCCGGGTGCTCCGGTTTCCCCCACAGTCCAAAGACATGCGGTACAGTTGAATTGGGTAAGCTACATTGTCCGTAGTGTATGAGTGTGTGTGTGTGAATGTTTCCCAGAGATGGGTTGCGGCTGGAAGGGCATCCGCTGCGTAAAAACTTGTCGGATAAGTTGGCGGTTCATTCCGCTGTGGCGACCCCGGATTAATAAAGGGACTAAGCCGACAAGAAAATTAATGAATGAATTAACTTAGTAGCCTATTCATCAAAACAAAGAAATGTTGCTTGAACATTATAAATATAGGCTATATGTCATTCATATTCATATAATTTTTGATGCAATTTGAAATATATGTTGCATGTACACTTTTTAAAATCTAAACATTAACTTGTATGTAGATCGATAGGAAACCTGTTTTTCTTAAGCTGATAAAACATTGCTGCAGCTCCAAGTTTCATTCCTGGAGAAAATTAAAAGCACTGCAGTGTTTGGGTGTTCTGTGTTAATTAGATAATTAGTCTACCGAAATTCTATTCCATACAAAATATGAAGCTGATCGGTGCTGGTGCTGGTCTATGGCCTGGGGGTCGGGGACCACAGCTCTAGCGCATATCTGCTCTGCAAGTGCCATGCGCCTCTTTCTTTAGTTCTGCATCAATTGAATTGATATTTAGCAGCTGAAGACGCGATGCACTAAAGAAAACGTTCCAAGCACAGCGTTTTGATCATGGGCTTCAGCGAACAGCCAATGCTGATCACATCAGTGTTATCGTACACATGAAATGATTAAAATTAATTTTTGCTTTCATTATTCAGCTATTCCTCCGCATACCACTAGTGGTAAACGTACTGCAGTGTGAACACCACTGGCGAAGAGCATTTTCCAAAAAAGCAGTTTCCATCCAAACTAACGAAATAGTCACTTAATGATAAACTGGCACAAATATCAAAATGGAACTTACTGGTTAGGAGAAGCCCTGTTGGCCTTTTTTCTTATTTTATAAATTACTTGTGCCTCAGAAAATGAAGACAAAGCGATATGATCATATGTTTGCATTTGTAAGCGTAAGATGCTCTTGAAATGTGGTTCTGGGAAGTAAAAATACTGATCCACTTTGATGACGGACTTTGGTGAAGGGATTTTCGAATGACCTAAAGATCATTTCAATAATTTTTCAATCATTATTTCAGTCTGCTGGATTTATTCATTAATGCCATCAAATTAAGGTTATTTATATTATCACATGACCTCAAAATCAAAAAGGCAAAAAATAAATAAATAAAAAAAATTATCAAAAAAGCAAGACATCAAAAAAAATTTTTTTACTTTGATGCACAAGCTGGAATTTGTTTGGTAAATTGATATAAAGAAATTTAAACAAATTATTTTAAATTATTTTTAAAATGTTTTTTATGCACATTTTTGAAATGTATGCACATCCTGGCTTTTCCATTAAAGATGCTGTATGTACGTATTTGACTCTTCTCCAACCAATGCCAGTTTAGCCAATTATATTTATCATGGGTTGCCTTGGTGTGATTCATTCAGTCATGAAGACTCCAAAGCATGTGTCCGTAACTAAAAATGTGACCTAAATGTGGACAGTAGCAGCCCCCGAAATGAGCAGCAGATTCAGAGTTCCACATGAGATGGTTATTAATTAGCAAATAACAAAAACATTATAAACAAACATTAGGTGAGGAGGTTACTATTGCTGCATCCCAAATGGCACACCATACACTTTGTACTTATGCGCTTACAAACAACAGCATAGTATATGTATGTAGAGTCATTGCAAATGGAAAGCAGAAATTCAAACCTTTCCAGATGACGTTTGATGGGTACCAAATTAGTGAAATAAATGAGCAAACTACCAAATAATTCCTGCCCTGAGTATAACCGCATTCACCATCAGGAGGCAGTATAATCACTCTCGTAGGAGAATACTGTTTTCACAATCCAAAATAAATAATCCAACAAAAGCCCTTGATAGCTCTGCCCTTTCTGTTACGTGAGCAAAGCGGCAGCCACTGAGTGCGTGAAGCGTCCAACATTACACACTTCATTTTAATGATTGAATAAGTTCATCATCTGAATATTTAAAGTGCACTTATTATTTTAAGTGTGAAGGCACTACTTACACTATACTACAAAATAGCATAGAATAGTGCATAAGTATGCAATTTGGGACACACCTATTGTAACCGTGTCCTAACAACACGCTACATGAAGAGATTTGCAGTGACAAGCCACTGGGCTGTTTGCACCAGACCCAACACGACAGAAATAAAAAAAAAAGCTTTTCAGAAGCACAGGACAGTGAACTTACTGCACTCTCAGAAATAAAGGTACAAGAGCTGTCACTAGGGCAGTACCTTTTCGAAAGGTACATATTTGTATCTAAAAAGTCCTTAGTGGTACCTCAAAGGTACATATCAGTACCCAAATGCACCTAAAATGTACCTTTGAGGTACCAATATGGACTCTTTAGGAACAAATAAGTACCTTTGGAAAGGTACTGCCCCAGTGCTCTTGTACCTTTATTTCTGAGAGTGTGCCCCCCAATAAAATGGTAAGGTTTACAATCTAATTAATACAGATAAGATCTCTTTAACATTATTAATGTACATGCTGAATCACTAATATTTGTTGGCTTGCATTATTTCACAGTTTTAAGGTTCCATTTCAAACACTTTATTTTCAAGATCTGAGGTGAAGTGCATTTATCGTGTATGACCACACACCCAAAAGCACTTTACAATCATAAGGGGGTCTCTCCATACTATCACCAGTGTGCAGCATCCACTTGGATGATGCGACGGCAGTCACAGGACAACAGCGCCAGTGCGCTCACCACACACAAGCTATTGGGGAGTGGAGAGACAGTGATTCAGCCAATTCAGTGGATGGGGATGATTGGGGGGGGCATGATGGGTAAGGGCCAATAGAAGGAATTTGGTCAGGACACTTTTACTCTTTACAAGAAGTGCCATGGGATTTTTAATGACCACAGAAAGTCAGAAACCCAATTTAACATCTCATCTGAAAGACAGCACCCACTAACAGTATGGTGTTTCCTTTACTATACTGGGGCATCAGGACTCACACAGACCACAGGTTGAGCAACCCCGGCTTGCCTCACTAACCCCACTGCCAAGAGCAACCTTGTTTTGCCATGTGGTCTTTCATCCAGGTACTGACCAGGCTCAGCTGTGCCTAGCTTCAGTCTTGGGCTGTGGGGTGATATGGCTGTGGGTGTATCTGCTGCTGCATTCAGTAGTATGGCAATAACTGTCATGTAAAATGGCATTCAAACTCACATTATTAGCATTTAACACTGAATAAAGCACATGAGGTGTTCCTGAGGTGATAATTTCCAGTTTTCTGTTGTTCAGCTGCAAGAAATAGAAACCGTTTCTAAAATATAAATTTCAGGTGTTGGTTAGGACCAAAACTACTTTTAATATGAAAATATGCCCTCTATCACGTGCTGTTGCATCTATTTAGGACGCAATTTAAATCAGCCTTTGTTGGTTTCGTCAATCTGGCAACCTGCGCTTGCGTGCATTTTGAACCAGGGGTGCAATACCTAGTTAAACCACTGGGTGTCAAACTTACATACTGCATTTAAAATTTAAGCATTTAAACATTTTTTTAAGCATTTTATAAACGTTATGTCTTAAAACTGACCATAAAATTAGTTGGATGGAAATAAAGCTAATAATAATTAGCTTTAGAAGCCTAAATAATTCTAAAAGTTCCTGGAAAATGCCCTCTTCACAAGAAAATAAAAGTAATTTGACGAGGACGCTGCTATTTTGACTAGTCTGAATAGGGTAATGAGGGTAATTCCAATACAAGTCAAAACATCTAAAATACAGAAATGTACATATTTTTGATACGTCATGCATAAATCAACTTTGCAAGTCAGTAAAATAATATCGATTGTACACAATCAAAACTATTATTAACTATGTTGCTTTGGTGCATTTCTCACAACACTATTTACATTTGTACAGCAGTTCATGCATTTCTCAAAACAATTAGTCATTTGTGCACATCCTAGTAGCAGTTTCTCATTCCTTACAACAAAATGCAAATGCTTTTAGACATGCGTCAATGGACCCTTCGCTAAGCCCCACCCTACTTAGTTACTGTTGCTACGCCTGTCAGGCTTTCGTGCCTTTCAATGTGTGTGCGCCGGTGTCAGACATTGCCAGGGATATATTGTTATTTTTGCCAAACAGGTGAGATATTCGAGAAAGCCAGACAAAAAAAAAACTGCAGTATGCATTACAGTATATTTACAACATAAAAGGCAACCGATTTGAGAATAATTAAATCAAAATTGAAGCTAGCTTAGCCTAGCCGCCTCATACGCTAACCATTCAACAGCTTAGCTCATGCTCAGCAGGAGAGGTGAAATTTAAAAATAATATAATATTAACTAATTATACTGTAATTTCTCTAGTTTTAGCCAAAAAGCCTACATAGTTCATTCAAAGAGGAGCCAGAAAGGGGAAATTGATGGATTTGTGCTGAATATTAGCATCATTGACCCATAACAATGTACAGCAAGTTACCTAGAACTGTCAGTATGTTTCTGTACTCTTTACAAATTAATGAAAAACAGCTGGGGGTAAAGTATATTGAATGCAAGGGCTCAGTTTGTGATCATATCTCTGTTTTGTTCTGTTGATTTGTAGTTTTTAATATTCATAGCTTAACATGGATGAAAATATGAAGTTCAGTAAAGTAAGCAACAGATTCGTATTTTCCAGATCAATAACTCATGTCATTATGACAATTGTTGGGTGGCGGCTTTTGGGTGTGGCTTAGCAAAGGGTCAATTGCTTTCATACGACTCTCTGCTATTAATAACATTTTCATTTGCTTATGTCTTGTCAGTCAAAATGAACTAAACTTGTAAATGCCTAATAGTCATTCCATATAAAACTAAAAGTACTCTTTCATTACTTGAGTCATTACTTACAAAAATGCTGAACTAGTCGTCAAAATCTGTCTAGCAACTATTATAAAAAAATGTAAATCTGTATTTTCCTGAAAATGTCTTCTAAACTGAACAATTTCATGAATGATTTACAGACCGGTGTATGTTGTAGGTTCAGTTCTAATATGTACTGCAATATTGTTTACAGTTGTTTAAGGGAAAGGGAGTTGATGTTTGTAGTAAATAAGGGTGTTTTTATTATTTTGCACTATGCTGTGAATAAATTAGAACTGCAAAAAGCAAATGCAGTAAAAATGTGAAACATATATATTCAGAGTCTTGTACTCAGATACTAGGGGTGTCAAAATTAATTGTTTTTTCGGTGCACCGCGATGCAGACGCGGACAATTCATAATAACCGGTTATTATGTACTGACGTCATTTTTCTCCTATTATGCGCTCTGTCGCGAGGGAGATTAGCGCGAGTATTTACAACACTCAGCCAACTCAGGGCCGGCCCGTGGCATAGGCACCATAGGCATATGCTAAGGGCGCTGTATATCCAGGGGGGCGCCAGAAATGAGCGCGGTTCAGTTGGTTTTGTTTTCGATTTTCCTGACACACATTCAGTTATAGACGGCAATAACTCAAAAACCTCTTACCCTAAAAAGATCTAAAGTGTGTTTCCTACAAAAAGACAAAGCTGGTTATGTTTCACAGCTGTCTTTCTTTTTTTTCGCTCGACATTACAACCACTGCTCTGTTTAAGCCCTCGCAATATGTGTTTAGCCGGGATAGCTCGCACTGAGGAGCTCTTAGTAAGGGACCGTCGGAAAAGTGCTTCTTTTTTTTCGTTTTTCTGGTCAGCTCAGCGCGAGCTCTCCCTGTTGCGAGGGCTTAAGTGTGTGTGTGTCTGTGTTTGTTTGTTTGGTGCTGTCTATGTTTGTGTATGTGTTTGAATGAGAGACAGTGTGGTGCTGTGTGTCTGTGTGTATATACAGACAGCTTGTTATAGCCTCCCCCCTAAAATATAACACTGTTTATAGAAAGCATCGTCAATGCACCGTGATGCACCGAGATATCGAATTGAACCGAAGGCATGATAATCGTAACCGAACCGTGAGACCAGTATAGTAAAATGCACTAAATGCAGTGATGTCTAACTTTACTTTAGTTAGAGTAAACGGTCATAATGAAAACATGACAAAGCCATTTGATTATCTTGTTCATAAACAATGGTGTCAGGACTTTCATGTTAATGACACAGACACTTGGATTGACACGAATACTTGCTCTTGAGGAATGAGCTCTCCATTTTAAGCAAGTGACACACTTTTGCAGGTTATCAACTAGCCTTTGCAGTTTGTACTAATTGTTTTGAGAAATGCATTTACTGCTGTGCAGAAAGGCACTGGTGTTGTAAGAAATGCACCAAAGCCACTGAGAAAAAAACTGTAAAACAAGAATAATGATTGTGCTTGCAGTGTCTTTTAAAGGTCTTTTATTTGCTTTTCTGTCCCCCAGAGTTGAAGTAGTTGTGGATGTCGTACTGAATGCACTGATGTAAATGGGTATCGGAAGTGAAACCAAAGAAGATGGATGATGAATGCCATGTGAAAACTTTCAGAAAACTAGAATGTCTGTTATTTTGTGTTTTACACTTTTTGACAAGGACTCCTGTTCATTGACTCATTTTTTTTTCTAGCACTGAACTAATTTTGCACTAAATCTTACATTACAATCAGGTGTAATTTTGAAGTACATTTGAATTCTTTCAAGGAATTGCATTATATCATGATGATGTGTTGCATGTTGCAATAAGAATGAGACTTTTGTTAATGATTTTCCAACTTGACCTTATTCTTCACGTAAGAGGGAGCAGCCATTGGGATATATTCATGGTTTCCAGTCTCATTCACTTCCATTGTTTTTAACGTCTAAAATCTGTCTAAAAATCATTATTCAGCTGTAAACTGTTCTTTTCTAACTATATCCTTTTTCTTTTTAGGTGTAGTCATAGACACACTTGTTTGTAGAGCAATTAGTTATCGTTTTCTGCCATGTATTATTCCTAGTCACTTCTCCCAAAGGCAACTGAATCAGATGTTCTAAACAATCACAGAAATGAGCACATTTCCACATTGCAGAATAAGGTCAATAGTGCTAAAACTTATGCATCACTTATGTAAATCTGGTACATACATAAAAGCACAGTTTATATTATTAGTTCTTATTCTTAAATGGTATTTTTAAAGTTTTATATCTTGCATTTTGTGTTCTAAGTTAAAGGGGTATTTCACTTGAAAATGAAAATTCTGTCATCATTTACTTTCGCTCATACCGTTCCTTTCTTCTGATAAACACAAAAGAAAATATCATGAAAAATGTGACCTTTTGGTCATACATAATGTGAAATTCAAATGCATAGATTAAACTCAATTGCAAGCACATTAATATTAAATTTAAGTAAATAAACATTTTCATTACCCTTTTTGGGGGCAACTTTATTTTGATTGCAACTTTATTTCTAATAAAAGTTCCCATAAGAGTTTAGCTTTCAAAACTGTAGGATAATCCTGTAAAAAAACCTTTAATTGCAAGATGTAAATTGCAATTACTAGTTATAAATGTGCAATTGTGAGACCATTAATGTATTATTTCATGTAGAACTTCCATATATTGGGTTCAATTTGTTGTCCTTTGTGTCATGCAGAAGAAAAAAAAATAGCCATACAGATTTTGAATAGTATAATTTTCAAGTGAAATGTCCCAAAACAATTATACATATTTATTTATACATTTATTTTCTGTCATTTTGATGTATGTCCTTATGGGTATGTAGAGTAATGACAAGTTTGCAAGATGGAGGATTGCAGTCAGAGCTTTGTAGCGAACTAATGTGTACGAATATGTAATATATAAAAATTCCTGAGAGATGGAACAAAGGCGAATCAAGGGCTACATTCAACGAAAAGCACATGCATGTTTGGAAAAAAAACTGCAACCACTGCAGTATTAAATATAAATTGTGCAAACTTGTCTTTTGCTAAAACTGTGCCATATTTTTGCATGTTCTAAATTAAACATGGTCTAATTTAAGTGTGTTTTGTTGTGTTTAATAGAGCTCCATTAGCACAAGATGCCTTTAATCATTAGTATTTATTTACTAGCATGCAAAATAATCCTTTGGTTTTCACATAAGAATGAAATCAGGTGTGGTTATTTCATTAAAAAGCTGCAGCACATCCTGTTCTGCTCTAAGCCTTCAGAGCAGTGGAGATCAGAGGAAACATGTCCGATAATTGCTATCCAGTTCACATAAGTGCATTCCTTTCAGCTTTACATTGAGCCATTACCAGCTCAAATGGAGGCAGAAATCTTATGCTTTAGCTAACGCATAACAAAGAGGAAACCACTGCTTTAACTTTGAGCTTTATCTTACTTTGTTTATGCAGCGCTTCAGACATTATCAACAAGAATCAGTCTTTTGCTTGGCTATTCAGTTGTTGACAGATACAGAATCTGCACCTGCAGATATAGCAGGCATCTATTTTTATTGTCTTCTGCCTGCTCATAAAAGAGCTAAAGCTTTACTAATGGCTGTGTTCACATGAGGATATTTAGAATAATTAACATGTTGCCATCTTCATAAAACAAAAATGATTTAGTGTATATTAGGACATTTACAAGACTCTCTTTTCCAGTCTATTCAAAATGAAAGGAATGATCAATAACATTCAGCCACTGTCTAGTTTTCAGAGTACACCCGCTTAATGGATTGTTTATGCCCAGTTGCCCAATGCCTTGGCAGCAACTCAATGCATTTAGGCAGGTAGATGTGATCAACTTCTGCTTCATGTTCAAACTGCGCATCAGGATGTTCCCCATTTGACTGAAAGATGATTTAGGTGACTCTAAATGAGGTGCTGTTGCCAGAAAAGCAGGTCTGAGTACTTCGGAAACTGTTGATCGGAGAATGGTCAGAAAAAGAGACAATATACAGCAGGCAGCACTAATACAACGGCAAAGTAGCTGAAACTAGAGGTATGCATGTCCTGTACCGCGGGAGCCGGGCAGATTTCTTTCGGTGCGGGAATAAATTTCGGAATAAAGCGCGGGAGCGGTCGTTCACTGGTGTAATTCTGGATGGGAGTCCCGAGCGAGTATGCGTATGAATGTGTGTGAATGAGAGTGCGTGATGCTGCGTTTAGCTTGTTTGTTGCTCTGTGTGTGTGTTTGTGTATGTGTGCTCGTGTGCGTGTGTGCGAATGAGAGAGAGCTTTGTGCTGTGTGCGTGTGTGTGTGTGTGAATGAGAGAGAGCGTGCTGTTGCTGTCTGTGTGTGTCACTTGCTTGCTGTGTGTGTTTATACAGAAAGCATGTTATAGGCTGTCCGGACTCTATATAGCTGGGTGGTTTTCGGTTTTGTCCCCTCCCATTAGCGGGAACGGGTGTGGTGGGTAGAAAAAGGAGCGGGTCAACACTTCGAACCTTGAAGCAGATAGCAACTAGGGTTGTAACAATATACCAGTATGACGGTCTACCACGATTTGAACGTGCACGATTATCATACCATGAACAATTGCATATCAACGGTTTTAACCCTTAAAGAGCCCATATTATACATGAAATAAGGTCATATCTTGGTTGTAAGGGTCTCCAACAACAGTCTAATATGCATGCAAGGTCAAAAAACACTTTCATGGTCTTATAATCTGCATTTATTTTTATCTAATTATCCCAGCGACTCCTGTATGAATCGTCCAGTGATTCATTTGTTCCCAAACCCCTCCTTAGCGCGAAGCTAATCTGCGCTGATTGGGCCGATGACAGTCTGTCGCGATTGGTCGACTGCCTTCAGTCAGAGAGGGAAATGGCCAATAGCTAATCAGCAATTTAAAAAGTAATCACAGTTCATACACGCTCGATAGTGTAGAAGTGGACTTTAGCTGCCACACTATGGCGAGTGGATAGTGCCACGGATAACCGAACGAAGGAGACAGTCGTGTACTCGCCATACCACACACACACAAAAACACACACACACCTCCGGATGACAACGCTCCCGCTTCAGCCCGCACCCGCCAGGTTTTAGCCTGAGAACCCGCTCCGTTTTCTGCCCGCCGCGCCCGGTCCCGCTAGAGCGGAGAACACAACCAAATATCACCCAGTATACAGTCCAGACAGCCAAGCTGTCTGTATCAAAACACACACACAGCACAAAGTACACAAAGCTCGTTCGTTCGTTCGCTCTCTCTCTCGCTCTCTCTCTCTCTCCCCGCGCCAGATTTCTGCGGCGCGGGAATACATTTCCGAATAAATCGCGGGAGCAGAACTCTAGCACGGAGCTCCATAAACAAACAGCACGCGTCGCGTTTTTAACGTGACTTTGCACGCGATAAGATAATATATCCAGTTAACCTGATACAGTACTCGCGGTTACAAGTAACAAATCACAACTAAATACATTTGCAAGCTAGAGTAAACGAGGCAACAACTTTAACCGCACGTACTTACACTTGAGAAATGTAGGAAGAAACCCATCCTGACGTCCATCAGTTACTCTTTACTGATCCTTCCTTTAACAAACTCAGATGAAGTATTCTTTGTAGCATGTAGCTTCCAGAAGTTTCCAACTGCTTGGCTATAATGCTGATGTTTCATCTTTGGGTAGAGACTCAATATAATATCCATCTGCAGTGTGACTTCAATCGACCGGCATGTTTGTGTGCGTGTGTTTGTGGGTGTGCGTGTGTTTGTGGGTGTGTGTGTGTGTGTGTCTGGGTTACTGCGTCAGAGGGCGGGGCCTCAGGTTTGAAATCTCCCGGGTTTGCGCGTGCACGTGAAAAACTTTGTTTCGTTCGTACGTCATGGCGAAACACCTAATGAGTCGGTATCAAGGCGACTCGTTTGAAGCACTATGATTCGACTCTTTTATAGATGAATCAACAGTTTTAAACACTGTATTCTTACAGATTTAAGCCTTAGCTGGATACTTCACTTCACTTAGAGCTGTGTTACACACTACATGGAGGGGAATTTTCAAAAACCCATAATATGGGCTCTTTAAAGACAGAGACAGCCGCCCGCGGCTAAAAATAAGTATTGCTCTTAAATGTTTAATAACTTTTGATCCGCTGATCCGATTCATACAATTCAAAGATTGGCATAAAGAAGAGAATCTCAGCTTTCCAGTGCTGTATAACATAACATTTGCGGACTTTTAGAGGCTCCGAAATCAGTGCGGTTACGTCATCAAAATTTGACAACGCTGATTTGACAAAGAAACGCTCGTCACTGTGTCTCCGGACAAACCAGACATGATACATTGATGCTTTGTCCCTCCTCCATGCCCAGATTGGTTCAAACTCACTATATCACAACCAATAAGCATAGGTTTCGCTTTTGTTTGTGGACCAAAAACGAGCTTTTTGAACAACACGGAATGAGAGATAGGCATACATTTATGCGCGGCTAAATAAAACGCAAAAAAAAAAGTTTTTCATGAAATAATTCTCATACTAAGTACTTTTGCATGCACAGCAGCACAGAAACATGACAAAACAGTGACACAGCAAAGACGAACTGCTGCTCTTGCTGTATTCAAAAGACGCAAATGAAGATGCAGCTGTTTGTCTGCATTGCAGACAACCATATCCAAATCCATATCGATAGACAACCATATCCATGCTGGCACATAAAACCTAAGGATGTTCCATACTGAATCTAGTTTCGTTATGTAACTATTTATAGTATAGTAAATATTTATATCTATTTTTTTTACTGAGGATTTGCACCATGTTTATTTGGACTTTGACACATTATTTATTGTTTTTTTATTTGTTCATTGTACAAGTGGACACATTCTCTCACTCTCTCACTCATTCTCTCACCACTAGACTGAAAAAAACAACGCTTTAAATACATGTTTACAGCCATAAACTTGGTATTGCACTTTTGGTCTCCCATTTATCCTGCTTATAAGGAAGGGCAGTTTAAGTTTATTTTTGTCTAATCTTAAAAGACCTTGCTTGTTTATTCCTTCTAATTTAATTTATTAAAATGGGAGATTTTTCAGTTTATTTTTATAAAAGACTTCTATAGTTCTATTAAAATGGTTCTTTCAAAAGTTTGTTGAAATAAAACCTTTGTTCAGTCAGAAAACGTGTTCTTATTCTTTTCAGGGTCTTTGCTATGAGAATTACTATTTAATACTGTATACCACGAAACCGTCAAACCGTGGTATTGTTTTAGACGATTATCATACCGTAAAAAATTCATACCGTTACAACCCTAGCTACAACAGCAGTAGACAAAGAGCAACCAGTGAAACTCCTGTCAGATAAACTTGAGGAATAGCTAAATGGGGCTACAATTTACACAGGCTCAACAAAACTGGATGCAATTTTGGAACTAACACTGGAAACATTTAATTCCTTCGTAACACAACTCCAACATATGGCTATATTCATGGCGAGAACCATTTAATCCACAGATTTCTTTTACACAAAAGGAGGGACAATTTAGGGTGTATTCACACTTGTATTCGCATTCATCTTGTTTGACTCTGGTACAGTTAGTTTAAGTTGTAAATATGATCTGACCTCGACCACAGATTTGCATAAATTCCTGCACCTTTTCAGGTATCAGGATCCTGTAGTTTGAGTTGTGCACTCGTAGTGTCTGTCTTTGCTGAGCAACCATTGCCAAACTCAGGCACCTGCAGGGTTTGGGTGCTTGAGCACCTGCCCTTTTTATCTCCAAGTAAAAGTTCCCCCTCCTTCACACAAATTTAATTGACTTAACTTGCATGTTTTTGGGCTGTGGGAAGAACCCGCAGTTCCTGCAGTACAGTAAACCCTCACTGACAGAAGGAGAACATGCAAACTCCCCACCAAAAGGCCTCATGGTCCCTTTCAGACCTGAACCATGGGCTTTACTTAGTGTGAGACCACTGGACAGCTAAAAAAAAAGTGAAAAAAATTCTGAATTACACAAAAAATATCAAAAAAACAAACATGGTTGAGATTTGGCACATTTTGGGGCCTTCGTACCAATTAAGCAACATTTAACCACCATATCTTAGCCTAGAGTACTGTTGCT